TACTACCAGGTCATGAGTATGTTCACTTTACTCTCAAAGTGTCTCTAAAGCATGTACTAAGCTTCATAAATCATACATACTATCATATTTTTCCCCTTCTTAGGGTCCAAGTTCATGTTAAGCCAACAGATGTAGAATGACTACATTAGACATGGATTTACGCATACTTCAAGTAGTTTAATTAGTATAAGTCTAATCTCACACTTTACCTTCATGAGGTAAATTAGGTGGTAAGGACTTATCATAGCCATTCTATTTAACAACCTACCAGTATCTCATAAGCTTCACTCTTGGAGCCTTATTTTACATAATTCATCATAGCCCTTCTTCTTCTTCTTCTTCTTCTTCTTCTTCTTCTTCTTCTTCTTCTTCTTCTTCTTCTTCTTCTTCTTCTTCTTCTTCTTCTTCTTCTAGAGAGAGGATTTTTGGAGAGCATTTTGGGGTTCTTAGATAAATGAGTTAATGACTTAGTTTAGGGGCCTATTAAGCTTATATAGGTGGTTAAATAACTAACTAACCGACCTACCTTAACCCTTAATTAATTAACTAATTAACACCCAAACCCCTAACCTAAAACTAAAACATAAAAACTGCCCATGACCTACACCCCTCCACCCACGGACCGTGGGTGGATCTACTGGACGTGACTCACCTACATAGGTGAGGTCTGCAACTCATAATTTTCAGGCCATTGCAGTCCTTTCCCCACGACCCTAACCTACGGGGCGTGGGTCCATCTACAGCCAGTAGATGGCATCCGTAGGTCACTAAAATTTGCAGATTTGGGGACTGTTTTTGGGGTCCCCCTCAAGGACCCCTTGGGTGGTCCTTGGGGGTCGTACCTTGACGTATAGCCCCTAAAAACTCCAGTATAAGTTAGGGAATCATTTCTTGTGATTTTATTCCTCATACCACACTCAAAAACTCTTACGAAAAGCTCTAAGACTCACTAGTTCAACTTATTAGTTTCCGGGAGATTACAATATCTCCCCCTTGGGATAATTCATCCTTGAATGACGATTATAAACACTTCTTAAAGTCATAACTCTAGACTAGCAGCCCATCATGCATGCACTACATCTAAATGCACAAACTAAGAAAGAAAACTTCAACTTCAAACTAAACACATTCAATGCCACACAAGGGAGTAGGAACTACACCTACCAACCCAAAATGCATGAAATTCTTTATTTACTCATTTTAAAGGAGGAACTAATGTCTCCTAGCTAAAACATGCTCAACACACACTCATGGAACCTAAATGCAATTTGCTCTCAAAAAGCATTTATTCAAGGAGGAATCTTCCAACTCCAAACTAAAGCATGCTCATATAATCATCTCATGAAGTCTATATGCAAATCATACTCAAACACACTACAACATAAAGAAAACAATGCATATAAGTCATTTCTATGTTTTCTTGAACCCTAACCCCTATTTCCAGAAAATATAATTTCTAGAAAAAAACCCTATTTTTGGAACACTTGAATTTCTAAATCCCCTATTTTGAGAAAATCCCAATCCTACTTCAAGCAATCAAGCTAAATGAAATGGAAAGAGTTAAGAGTTAAAATAGCATATTTTCATACACCCAAAACACTAAAATTTCTATTTTCAGAAGACGAGTTGAACTGGAAAACAAAGATTTTGTCAAGTGAAGCCATTGATACCCAAATCCAGCGAATCTAACATCTAAATGCAGGAACGAGTTGGGGTTCTTATTTTGCAGAAAGAAGAGTTGAAACTACCCATTTTAAAATATCACAGCCCTATTGAGATGGAGAGCTAAATGGAATTGAAATCGAGATGAGAGATTGAGCTTACAGTGGAGACTTGGAAAGCTAGCAGTGGAGACTTGAAAAGGAGATGGAGAACTTCAATGGAGCTTGCTGCGAGACTTGGAAAGTTTCAATGGAGATGGAGCTTGAGAGAGGCTTCTTTGGAGCAGGAGATTGAAAATGTGGAAATAAATTTGTTCCCTAGAATATAATATGACTTTAAAAATATTTTCAACGGATTTACTGACGGATTCTAACATCCGTCGCTTTCAAATTAATGTATTTATTTAGAAAAAATTATAATGATAGATATTTTCGCTATATAAAATAAATTTTATAAAAATATATTAAAAAGATTAGCAACGTTTTTTCCGTCACTAATTTCGTTGCCCAATATTTATTAAATTTGTCACTAGTACTTTGTTAATAAATCCGTAGGAAAAATTAGGCGCCAAAATTTCGCGCTAATATTTAGCTACAAAATAAAAATTCCGTTGCCAATCCGTCGCTATATTATTACTCAAACAATTATTTGTCAATTTTGCAACAAAATGGTAATTTCGTTGCAAATCTATTGTTATAAAGTGAAGGAATAGTGTTCGTAGCTAATATCCGTCGCTAAACACTGGTTTTTTAGTAGTGCATGTTAAAAGGCCAAGAAGGTGGGTCACCTACTTGACATTATATCCCAAAATTGGCAAAGGAAGTCAGCCAACGAACCTCCCTTTTAAAGGGATAAAGATCAGATCTTCTGTTCATTTTTAACTTGTAAAATTTCAGACTTATTAAGTTTCTCTCTTTGCCTTTCTTGGCTTCAAGTAGCAGCCCTTAAACACCTTAGGGTTGTTGAATATTGCCCCCTTTTCAAGTAAAAGTAGGAAGAAGAGTTTCAGTTCTTGAAGTACAAGTTTAGAGGATAAATTTCCAGAAACTAAGGTTAGGCTACTGCCCATTTTTTCCTCTCTTTAAATATATGTTTGGGGTAGAGAATTTTGTATATATTTGTCAAGAACTCATGATGGTGACAAATCCTTCAGTTCTATATTTTCCTACTATGCTGAAAGATATTTGGGGATTGATAGTGGCTACCTTATGTATATTGTTGTTGGGGGCAGCTTGGGTTATCATGGCAAAGGATGTATGAAAGTTGTATTAATATATAGAAGAAGGGTGTGGTGGTTCACCATTTGTGTAAGGATTGTATGGGCCTACCTTCCGTCAAGTTTTTAGCTACTATGTTTTTCGAGGGCCTTAATGTGATTAGTTGCTAACAGTAGCTTAATCGTGACTTATATTGTAGATTAGCACCCAAAAGAGAGGTTGAATCGTGATATTTGTATTAGTCAGAAAATAAAGTATGTCAGGATATTCGATTCCATATTCCTTTGCATGAAATATGATATTTGCGATTAATATCAACGGAGTGAACTTCCTAAGTTCTATTCCTAGTAAAGGAAACATAGTGGCAATGTACGATCTCCAAATAACAAACAATATTTTCCCCATCCTCCTTAGTGTGTAGAATTACTCCATTCCATTATCATTACTCTATACTTGTGTAATTATCCTCTTATTTGCTGGTATAGAAATTGTATTTGTAAAAGCAGGCTTGGTGAATTCTTCTCTTAGTTAATTGAAGTCAATTGTCTTATTTAAGCTCATAAGTAATGCATTTATGTTACATATCTCCATATGTCATTGTTACTGCCTTGAAGTTATTATTTTCATGTCTTCTACTACTTGACTTTAGTTTCAAATCTCAAAGATTAAAGAATCAAAGTGAAGCAATCTGTATAAGTATGGGTTGCAGCCAAAGGGCAAAAACCTAGCATTGGTCGATCCCAATTGGTTTAGAAGGGTGGCAACTCAGGGGCGGAAGTCAAGCATGGGACGATCCCAATTGGTATAGAAGGGTGGCAGCTCAGGATAGAAAGCCTAGCATGGGCCGATCCAGATTTGTGTGATTATGAGGACAACATCCCAGGGGTTAAAACGCCTAGTATGGGTTATCCTCTTCTACCACTGATCAGCTGGTCATTTGCATCACATGCCTTATAAAGATCATAATACACAGAAAATAAAAGAAATGAATGTAACATACATGCTCCTACAAGAGTAAGGAAGATTGTCTCCTTTTCATATCTATGCATTTATATACGGATACTTGATTTCATTTGACCCTTGTTTTATGTATCTTATTGCCTTACATATTTAGTACATTTTTTTGTACTGACCTCCCTTACAGGGACGCTGCATTGCATGGTGCAGGCACAGGTACTCCAGATAGTAGACCTCTTTATTAGGAGCACAAGTACTCAACTACTATTGGTAAAGCTCCAGGTTGATTCGGGGCTTACCGAGTCTTCGACATCTATTTTGGTAATATGTGATTGTTAGTGGTAAGGCGGGGCCTTGTCCCACCCTAAACTAAGGTTTTCTATCTTTTAAAGGCGTTGTAGACTAATGTATATGGTTCAGTTGCGTCTTTTCTCTTAACAAGTTATGGCCTCAATGGCCAAGTATTCCATGTTTTAGGTATACTTATGTTGGTTCGTATGGCTGCATCCTATGTGAACTTGTCACAACTTTAATATTGTCATAGTTATATGCATAGTAAGCACATGTTACATGTTGGTTCTCTCAAGCCTTTAGGGCATCGAGTGTCTTTCCATCTTAATGGAACTGTGGTATGACACAATGAGTGATCCCATCCCTCACCCATTAACCTTTATTCCAAATTAGGGACTCCAACCAATAAATTCAGCAAACGTTATTCAAAACACAAAACACTAAAACTTGGGTTGCCACCCAACAAGCGCCTTAGTTAACGTCGTGGCACGACGTGGACATGCATTCAAGCATCTTTAAAATACACCACCTCAACCAATATTGTGTTGGGGATCTCCCCAAAGTACAACTTCAGCCTTTGCCTATTCACCTTGAACACCGACCCTTCCTTGTTTTCAACTTCCATTGCCCTATTAGTGAGCACCCAATTCACTTTGAATGGGCCCAACCATGTTGACTTGAGTTTACATGGAAAAAGTCTCAAACGGGATTTATAGAGCAACACAACATCACTGACTTTAAATTCACACTAAAGGATCTTGGCATCATGACACTTCTTAATTTTCTCTTTATAAAGGGTGAACTCTCATAAGCTCGCTGCCGAAACTCTTCCATCACATAAAGTTGGTCAACTTTGTCCATTGAAGCATCCCCCTAATTCAAGTTCATGGCTTTCAATGCCCATAACGCCTTATGTCCAAGTTCACTTAGTAGGTGGAAAGACTTTCCAAACACCAATTGATATGGGGACATACCAATCGTGGTCTTGAATGCAACTTGATATGCCCAAAGAGCATCATCAAACTTCTGAGAACAATCAGTCCAATTTGCATTAACGATTTTTGCCAAAATTCCTTTAATTTCCCAGTTTGACACCTCAACCTGCCCACCTGTTTCTAGATAATAAGGGGTAGCAACGTTATGCCTACCATAATATTTTCTCAACAACGATGCAAACATGCGGTTACAAGAGTGACAGCCCCCATAGCTAATAATTGTAGGTGGAGTGCAAAACGGTTGTGAAAATGTACCGCTTGAGGAATTGCACAACATTTCTCCCTTCATTGTTAGGTAAAGCTACAACTTCTACTCATTTAGAAACATAGTCATTAGCCACCAAACTGTACTTGTTCCTATACGAACACACAAAAGGCCCCATAATGTAAATTCCCCACATATCGAACAACTCTACCTCTAGAATAAAAGTAAGAGGTAATCCATTCCTTCGCGACACTCCTTGCTTTTGGCATTGAACACACCTTTTTACAAGAGAGTGCGCATCTGGGTACAATATTTGCCAATAATAACAACTTGCAAACACTTCAGCGATTGTGCGCACTCCACTATGTTGTCCACCAACCGGTGACACATGTCAATCATCAAGAATTACATCTACTTCCACTTCCAGTGCTAACCTTCTAATTATGTGATCTACACATTCTTGAAATAGGTAAGGTTCATCCCAAAAGTACTTCTTCACATCGAATAGGAACTCTTTCCGTTGGTAAAAACTCAACCCATCGAGAATAATCCCACACACCACATAGTTTGCGAAATCGGCATACCAAGGTGGAGTACTATTTGACACAATCATCAACGACTCATCGGGAAAAGATTTTTCAATAACTTTCTTACCCAAAACAACAACATTTGTTTCAAGCTTCGACAAGTGATCCGCCACTTGGTTCTCACACCCATTTCATTCTTTTACCTCAAAGTTGAGCTCTTGCAACAATAACACCCATCATATCAATCTTGGCTTTGCTGGTCTCTTAGCCATTAAATAACGGATCACCACATGGTCAGTGTGTACAACCACTTTTGTGCCCAACAAATAGGCTCTAAACTTTCAGAAGCACACACCACGGCTAATAATACTTGCTCGGTGAAGGTGTAGTTCTTTTGAGCTATATTTAAACTTTACTTGCATAATACATCGGGTGAAACAAATTATCTTTTCCTTGGCCAACAACAGCTCCCAAAGCAACGCCACTTGGATCACACATTAGCTCAAATGGAATGCTCCAATCCGGAGCAACAATGATCACAGCCAAAATGAGATTTTCTTATAGACACTAAATGCTTTGATACAAGCTTCATCAAACTATACATGACCTAGGTTAAGATACTTTACAAAAATGTTTTATGAACCTCTGGTAAAACTATGCATGACCTAGGAAACTTCAAACACCTTTAACCGAAATGGGAGGAGGCAACTTGGAAATAACTTTAACCTTCGCCTGATCAACTTGTATACCATCTCCTGAGATTTTGTTCCCCAACACAATACCATCCTTGACCATAAAGTGACATTTCTTCCAATTAAGCATAAGGTTTGTTTCAACAGATCCTTGCAAGACTTTACTAAGGTGCTCAAGGCATGCTTCAAATATGTCCCTGATAACTGAAAAAATCATCCATGAAGACCTCCATTGAATCCACTACCATATCAGTGAAAATAGAGAGAAAACATCTTTGAAATGTCACCGGCGCATTACACAGTCTGAAAGGTATCTTTTTGAAGGCAAACATTTCATAGGGACATGTCAAAATTGTCATTTCTCGATTTTCGGTGCAATAGATATTTTATGATACCCAGAATAACCATCTAAGAAGCAATACAATCCACGCCTTGTAAGTCTATCAAACATCTAATCCATAAAGGGCATTGGGAAATTATCCTTATCGGTCCATGCATTCAACATCCTATAATCCATACATACACACTAACCGATGACCGATCGCATTGGCACAAGTTCACCTTTATCATATTGGACCACGGTTATACCACACTTCTTTGGAACGCATTGCATGGGGCTCACATCGAGCCACCTGATGATAACTTTCTTCACCACTTCTTACATTAGGGGATTTAACCTTCTTTTGGTTCTTAACACTTGGTTTGCATTCACTCTCTAATTGGATTTTATGTGTACAAATACCGGGAGGAATTCCCACAATATCAGTAATCGTTCATCTAATGGCCTTGATATATCTTTTCAACACACTAATAAGCGCTTGCAATTGCCATTCAAGTAAATTTTTGGCAATAATTACGGGTAAAGTGTTGTTTGCTCCAAAGAATACATAATAAAGGTGAGGTGAAAGTACCTTCAACTCGAGCTTTGGTAGTTCTTCAAGGGATGGTTTCGAATGAGGACTTTCCCCATTATTCAAAAATATATATCAAGATTTAAGGGAATTTAGCATAAGAACCCAAACCGATAGTGCAGTCATAACCTCATCATAATCTTGAATTTCGTCACCATCATAATTCAAAAGAAGAGCGGCTAAAGACTCACCCACACAAGAAACATCACACACACTAGCAACCGCTTCATCAATCACATCAATGACTAATACCACATGGATGTCACTTGGTTACTTCATCGATTTACACACATCGAAAGTAACTTCCTCATCAATTACCCATAATTTCAACTCTCCACTTTCTACATCAACAAGAGCTCTTCTAGTTGCCAAGAATGGCCTACCAAGAATAATAGGAACCTCGGCATCAATCTTGCAATCGAGAATCACAAAGTCAGCCAGAAATATAAACTTTTCCACCTTCACAAAAATACCATAAAGAATACCCATAGGATGCTTGATAGATCAATAGGCCATGAGGAGATGCATAGTTGTTGACTTAGGCTCACCTAGCCCAAGTTGTTTGTAAATGGAATAGGGCATAAATTGATACTCGCCTCCAAATCATACAATGCTTTAGCAAAGTGAAATATCCCTATCGTGCATGGAATGGTGAATGCCCTCAAGTCATCTTTCTTGATAACCACGTTGGCCATCATAATGGTGCTACAACTATGGGATACTTCAACTGTTTAAAAATCCATACTCTTCTTGGTAACTAACTCTTTCATAAACATCGCATACCCCGACATCTTTAACAACACTTCCACCAAAGGAAGATTGATAGATAAAGTTTTAAAAATGGAGAGAAATTTTTGGATCTTCATGTCTTCATCTCTCTTCTTCAATCTTTGAGGAAACAGTGGACTAACTCTAGGTAACAACTTTGTAAGTACCGAAGTAGGAGCAGCCCCCAAATTTGACTTTTTAACATCACCGGAGAAAACATCCTTCGGTGCATCCTCAACCTCCTTGGACACTTCATTGTTCAATTCTTCGGCAAGCTCATCACTATCAATAATTTACTTGAACTTTCTTTAACATCATTTGGCACATCAATGCCCACAAACTTACCAATCCCTGTCAAAATAGCCATGAATTGGTAGTTATCATTCTCTGGATTGGCGAGAGCATCACAAGGAATACCCTTTTTTGTCTTGGATTTAATTGAGCTGAAATTTGATCCATTTGAGTCTTAAGTTGTATTATGGAAATCGAGTGATAAGTCACTGTTTAATTTAAAGATGAGAAATCAGCCTTTATCTCCTTGAGCATGTTGTCTGATCCTTCAACTTTGTTTAGGATGTGGGCAAGCATATCCTCGGTCCGAAATTTTTTGGGGTCATCATTTATTTCCCTCTGTTTAGGATAGTCAAAAAGAAGCACATAACCATCTTGATCATAATCTCTATCCCTCCAATTTTTACCCCAATCATGCCAATTTCGATCTCGATCTATCCAACCTTGATTCCCGCCTTGCCTTGGAAAGATTGAATAAAAACCACCCATTTGGCTAAACAAAAATTTTCCTTTTCATTGTACTTGGATTCAAATTGTGCATCATTCGGGCTCACTCTATTATTAGTATTAGCCGCATTCATGGCTTTATAGCCACCTCCCATGACATTTTTCGTTAATAACTCCATTTGAGTTATCATCTTTTCCATATTCTCATCTCGCTCTCAGTTTTTTTCTAGTTGTTTTATAGTCCACCCAAGATTTAAAGGTGACACATGATCCTCCCTTGTATACCATGCACGATTAATTTTGGGCATATAATCAAGTAATGTTGAAGCCACGACAAAACGTTGCCTCAAAATACAACCCATAATAAGTTGATCGGCAACACCCTTGTTGATGATGGTAAGACTGGTAAAAATATTGCAATAACACCTTATCCGTCAATCCATGAGTCGGGCATTTAAGCAGCAACTTTTGAAATCTCAACCACGTTTCATGAATAAGTTCACCATCATTCTGTTTGAAGTTTTGAATGCTATCCCTCAACTTCATCATCTTCGAAAAAAGGAAAAATATTTCATAAAACACTTTCGTGAGCTCCTCCCAAGAAGTAATAGAGTCTCGTGGTAGATCATCTAACAACTTCATTGCTTTCCCTACTGAAGAGCAAGGAAACAAACAAAGTCGAATTGACTCTTGAGAGATATTCTTGAAGAAGAATGGTTCACAGACATCTACAAAATTCCAGATGTGATCATGAGGTTCTTCATGAGCAAGTCCCTCCAAGAATCCTTTCATTTGGAGCAGATGAAGCAGAACTACTGTTACATGAAAAATAACATTACCTGCAGTTGGGGGCAAATGAATAGCACCAACACTTTCCAGCTTGTAACACCTCGGATTCAAGAAGGGGCAAGACAACATTTTTTTCAGAAGTTGCAGGTGCCATCCGATGGATGCCACCCACGGCCCGTGGATGGGACCACTCACATCTAAGTTTTGGAAGTCTTTCCAAAATGGTATTTTTACTCGTGTTAAGCTTAGTACGATCTTTCATCCCCAAACCGATGGGCAAGCAGAGTGCACTATCAAAACTTTGGAAGACATGTTGAAAGCTTGTGTGATTGATTTTAAGGTTAATTGGGATGACCATTTCCCATTGATTGAGTTTGCTTATAATAATAGCTATCACTCGAGCATGGATATGGCTCTATTTGAGGCAATATATTGTACGAGGTGTAGATCTCTTATAGGTTTGTTTGAGGTGAGTGAAGTTTCCCCAATAGGTCCCGAGTTGGTACATGAGGCCATAGAGAAAGTTTGACTTATTAGAGAAAGGTTGAAAAAGGCTCAAAGTCGGCAAAAATCATATATCGATGTAAGAAGAAGAGATCTTGAGTTTGATGTTCATGATTGGGTTTACTTTAATATTTCACCCATGAACGGTGTAATGG